GTGAGCTATGAGGATAATACTGCACTCCAGCCTGAGCTATAGAGCAAGACCCTATCTCTAAAAGAAAAAAACAAAAACTGGCCTCTACTCTTTAAGATTGTCGATGTCATGAAACACAAAAACACCTGAAGCACTGTTCCAGGTCAAAAACACTTAAAGAAAAAAAAAAAAAAAAACACTTAAAGAAATGTGACAATTGAATGGAAAGCATGATCCAGAATGTTCCTTTGCCATAAAGGACATTATTGGAACAATTGGTAAATCAGAATTAAGGTCTGTGGATTACATAATGTTACATTAATGTTAATTTCCTGATTTTAATCATTATACTTATGTTTATAGGAAATACACACTGAAGCATTTAGGGGTAAAGAAGAATCCTGTATACAACAGTTCAGGAAAAAATATATATATTTAAAAGTTTATCACAAATGGATAGCTAATTTTATATACATATAGGACTATCCCAGTGTCTGTCTGTGTCCACATATTTATTAAATAAAACGAAAACTTTTCCATGTCATATGGTACTTGAGTTTGCCATCTTGCCCATGGAGGGTATTCGGTCATGCATTCGACACACATTTATTGAACAACTGCTATGTGCCAGCCGCTACACTAGGAGATGAGCTATGGCATGATCCCTATTATGGGTTAAGGCACACCCTCTACTACCCACACTTTTCTCATCCTAAGCAGATTTCTAGACCTTTCTCTTAATCTCTAATACAGATCCTATCTCTTCTAAACCATACACACTACTCTCTAGCCTTCATTCCTTTAACTGTCAGATTAAAAATTGCTAAACACAGCCAGATTAAAAGATACCTAAATCTCCTCCAGGCTAAAACTTGTTTCCGTATCAAATAAGGCCCTACTTCCAATCCCAGTTAATCTGTCACATACATAAACAAACAATACCAAAAAATCACTATACCTCATCAAAATGAAGTTAGTTCTACAGTGCTTAAATAATTTGCAATTTGGAAGGATCAAACACTTAACATACAGTAAAAAAAACTTGATAAAGATTCAATAACAAAGTAGAAAATGAATAGGAAAGAGTTTCTCCATTCAGAGACATCTGTGAACAACTGAAAGGCATATTTAGGAGAAATAGCAAACAACTTTTTACTATACTTCTATTAGTAAGAAACATTTAAAAAGTTAATTTTAGAAAAACTCCAATTTTCTGCAACTGCTTAAGCAGAATACAGTTTGTTTTTCCATCTTTAATGAAGTGATAAGCTGTTTCAACCTTAAGCATAAAATAAATTATTAACCAAAGTAAGCTTTGTTTTTGTCCTATGCCAAATTTCGCTACTCTCCACCTCTCAACTTTCTACAAAGGAAACATGAAAAGGAACTTTGAAATGCATTGCAAAATATGTAAACACCTACCTTCAGTGTCCTTGTGCCCTGCAGCGTAAATCCAGCATTAATACATATCAAAAAAAGGTTTGGTTCTTTTTTTCCTCACATTACCAGGGATATGAGAATATAAAACACCAAATCCAACCATCACAGAACAAATTTAAAATGTGTCAAAGAATAAAAGAAAGGGTTTAAATTAAAGTATGTATCTTAACAACTAAAATGACACATACACAAATGGATTGGAAAAGGGAAAAATAAAACTAAGAAAGTAATTTATGCTTCTGAAATCTTACTGAAGCTTTTTCAAGTGAGTAGGGGTATTCTAACAATATTCATGTATTGGAAAATGTATTCAGCTCATTAATGAACATAAATCAAAACTGTCTTAACATAAGTGGAGAACAAGGAAAACGAAAATGCTTCACCCAGTGTGACATGCGTTTCAGTCTGTCCACTACAAGGTATGATAACTGGGGCACCCAGAGTGCTGCCTGTCCCTTTTACATAAGAGAAGGACAAATGCTTTACGTTATCAAGCATAACTAGAAACTTGGGTTCTTTGGTAAAGGAAAAACATACCATAAATACTTAAACCTGTAAATTTTTGAAAATGTGTGCACATTATGATCAAATGTCCTATTTCTTTTCCCCACCTGTTGTTACTTAATGGGAAAGTGATGAAACACTGAAAACCTAATCAATGTGCGAGCAGTGAGGTAAATAATGGTCTATTTTCCCACTCATTCATCAGTTTACACAGTGTCCAAAAAAGGACACTTTTTAGATTTAAGGATTTCCTTGAACCTAAGGGTTTTGGCCTCAGCTTATTCCTAACACAGACAGACTCAGGGTACTTTCAGGGATTCCAATCTATTATTCTCAGTGGTATCTCCTGTTATCCCAAACTGGAATTCTGGCCCTCAAATTGAAGTAATCCCTAATTCTAGAGAGAGTCAACCACCAGGCTGAAAATTTTCTGAAACGTCAATGTCTGTATTTCAAAGGTGTATTTTTCATTTACTTATTTATTTTTAAATTTTTTTCCCTTTTTTAGGTCATCTTAGCTTCAGAATATATTTCAAAGGTATAGAGAGCAAACAGGCATTATTTATTTATCTTCCCATGATCCTTTATATCAGCAAAGGACCCGAAAGAAACATCAGACTATAAGAGCATTGTTTCCTCATAAGCCCTAAAATTTAAGCAGCATGTTGTCATTGTCATGTTGTTGCCTAAATCAAAGCTGTACGAATCCATCAGATGTTCTCAAGAGAAAAATTTTTTAAGTCTAACACGTACTAGAAATCCACAAGATACCATTTCCAAGGTAATTTCAGCCTGAGGATCAGTATAGCATGTTCAGTATGATAATATATCTATAAAATGGACCTATCCCCTTAATTGCTGCTAAAAGCTCTGCCTATTATAGGTTATACGAGTTTATACATCATTTCAAATTATGAAACTGTAGAATTACCTTCTCCTTCTTTGATAATAAAAATGCACCAGCCACTGGGCAATAAAAGGCCATATGATAGCAAAAGTTAATGCACCAGGAGATATCTCGAAGGGCCACCAAGATGGTCTCTGAAAAAATACAATAAGCTTGTCACCAATCTATTATATATCGCATGTATAAATTTAAAAATATACCGAGAAAAATTTTGAAAATACGAAACTAGTAACAAATCTCACTCCTGCTGAATTCAGAGCATAATTCAGTAGGCAGACTTTCAGGAGTACTTCAGACTTAAATAAACACAAAAACAAATATTTAACTTCAAAGCTCTAATAGAGTAGATCTCATTTGGAATACTTTAAGAATCTCTTATGTTCTAAATGTGTTATAACTTATTTGAAATCCTGGCACTTACATTTAAGAAAAATTTTCTCACCTGTGAGGGGGGCTGATTACTAGTCTGCACTGTTGATGATTTTGCCTATAAATATAAATGAAAGTGATTTAGCCTTGACAAAATGAAAAAAAACCAGTAATTTTTCTATCTCTTATCTTGCTTTAAAAAGGCAGAAATATTAGTCTATTCTCTATTTTTCTGCTAACTATGTTTTGATTATCCTAAAACTCATACTGACAAAGGACGAGTTCCCCAAAATTGTGAGCCAAACAAATACCTTGGATACTTTGCATTTTACAGTTCAAATTATATGAAATTATCAAAATATCAATCTAAACCCTTATTTTATAGTCTTATTAAATTACCTATTCAATTTTCTTAATTAATTCCTCAGTTTCCACACAAACTACCAATTTACAAACACATTTGAAAACTGTAGTTTTGATTATTAATTAAAATAAAAAGACTGTAAACAATATCCAAAGATCTGGAAATTCATGACAAATCATAGAGTTATACAGATATGAGAAACATGAAACTGCTAGTGTTACAGGTTTTAAAATAAGAAGTAGCATAAATTAAGCAGAAAATTTTCAGATTTAGGAAATTCAGATTTCAATTTGGCTCATTCCAAAGACAAGTTTCCTTAGGGTTGTTATTAGTAACTTATTATTCTAGTTTCCCGACTTATTATAACTTTAGAGAAACGGTATGAACATTAGTAAGATCATTCATTCATTCATTCAATAAATGTTTCTTAGCATCTTCTATGTACCAGTCAATATTCCAGGCACTAGAGATACAGGAGGCAGCAAAAGGACAAAAATCTCTGCCCTGATGAAGTTTATACTCTAATGGAGGGACATAAAAAATAACAAATAAAGCAGTAAAACATATGGTATATCAGGCGGTGATAAATGCTATAAAGAAAGATAAAACAAGGAAGGGAGATGGGAAATGTCAGAGGAGGGGAGGCTTGCAGAGAATTATTACATAGAGTGTTCAGGGGAGGCTTAAAATTATGGCTAACTGGAAGAACAGCCTTCTGTACAGAGGGAATAAGAAGCTCAAAGACCCAGAGTGGGAGGGAGCCTGCTGGCAAGTTCAAGGAACAGCTAGGAGGCCAGTGTGCTGAAGTGGAGTGAGTGAGAAGGAAAATGGGGAAGAGCAGGCTTTTGTATTTCTTTGTTACAGGTTGTCTGATTTCAAGGAGCCCAGTATGACTGTAACTTACAGGTAAAACTGAATTAGTTGCCACTGGATGTTGCATTAGTCCTTACAGACCATGAAGGTGTTAAATGATGAATTACAGTTCTAGTATACTCAAGCTCAACAGGCCAAGTGCTGAAATGCTTTGTAGGCATTAATAATCTTCAGCCAAGAAATTTACCCTATGGCCCTAAAGACTAAACGGAATAAAGGGTAGATTTACAAAACTGAGCTCTTAGGTATCCAATGACTTATCCAAGGTCACATTAGCCAGTGTAGTTTAGATTGGAATTCAAGGTGACCAAACTCCAATGTGACAGAGACAACTATTCTTCATTAAAGCAGCAACTAACAAATGCTCGGGTCGAATCAGAACTATTAAATGGAACTACAAGTGGATTTTTTTCTCAGTAATAAATGGTCTAGAATGGCAAATGAAGATTCCTAAAGACCACTGCTTACAGCTCAGAAGCAACCAGTACTATCTATATAATTAGCATTATGATTTTTTTGTGCTTTAAAGATATTTATCCACATATATCTTTAGATATTTAGAAAACCAAAGTCTAATCATTTTATGATTCTATTGCTGGATTAAAATGAAGGATCACTATACTCTGGTTTCTCTTCAAAACGAATAAATCTTTCACCTTTTACTAAAGATTTCCGTGGAGAGGGACAGTTATGAGTTGGTAACCAAATTTTTTGAGGTCTTGCTTAGGCAAGGCTAAGTATATAGAAAAAAAAATAATAATAAAATAAAATAAAATAAAAGATTACTGAATTTTTTTGCAATTCACTTTGAAAGGGAAAATTTCATACAATAGTAATCGCTACAAAGGGAATATGAAGATAGAAACTTATTTAAGCACTGTGTTCCAGGCATTATGCTAAGCATTGTATTTCATCCTCTGATCCAGCATATAGGGTAGGCGCTATTAATATTCTCATTTTATTGATAAGGAAACTGAGGCATAAAGAAGTTAAACAACCTGACTTCAGATCACACAGTAAGTGGCAGAGCCAGGATTTGAACCATGTACTTTACTCCAAGGTCAGCTATACTATGATAGCTCCCTTTTTATTGTCACACCCTTTGCCTAAAACAAAGTATTTGGTATGTGGCCATGCAACAAATATTTACTGAGTGAATGAGTCTAAGGATATATTTTACAAAAAAATAATATACTGCAGGCACCTTCCTGTGGTGGAAAATGTATTACATGAGAAATCAGGAGTCTTTACTTACGGAACTTGCTCTGCCACTGATTAATGTATCTTCTCAGCATCTCTGCATCCTCATCAGCTAAATAAGAGTGTTGAACTAAGTTTTCCGCAGTTCTATAATCTATTATTCTATCCATTCACTTCTTTTATGAGTCATCCAAGTGAATTATGCAAATTTTAAGGAAGAAAGTCCTTATCATGTCAAAGTCTTTTTTAAAAAGTTCTATACAAGAAAATAGTAGGGCCAAGCATGGTGGCTCACGCTTGTAATCCTAGCACTCTGGGAGGCTGAGGCAGGAGGATCGCTTGAGGTCAGGAGTTTGAGACCAGCCTAAGCAAGAGCGAGACCCCATCTCTACTAAAAACAGAAAAATATGCTGGGTGTGGTGGCATGCACCTGTAATCCCAGCCACTCGGGAGGCTGAGGTAGGAGGATCGCTCAAGCCCAAGACTTTAAGGTCGCTGTGAGCTAGGCTGACGCCATGGCACTCTAGCCCAGGTGACAGAGTGAGACTCCATTTCAAAAAAAAAAGAAAACAATGAAAAAGTAAACTTCTAAAAATATATATATCAAAATAATTTGAATACCATTATTGCAATATGTACAATATATCAATATAATATGTTGAAATATAGTCAATGTTTCAAATACAGGGAATATATACAAAATATTCTTTTTTTAAAAAACATCACAGAACAAGAAAAACAAACTACCAGGAACAATAATGTTCAATGATAACTGAACAAATGAGGTTTCCTGCATGGGTAGCTCCTTTTTGCTTCCTTTAAGATAATTCTGTATTAATCTAGGGATAGTATGAGGGGATATGTTTTATTTCTCAAGCACATATAAAATAGAATTTTCTTATTAATGAAAGATACAAATTAAACAGTTTGTTTGATATCAATAACCTACACTTACCTGTATAAACAACACAATGTCATTTACTTAAAGCACTAATCTCTTTTCTTTTTCGTATTCAATTTTCCTTTAATTTCTTGTACTTAAAAAAAATAAACTGGCTTTAATGTTCTCATCTAAAATCTATTTTTTCTTATTGTGAAGGAGATTCTGAAACACTGGATCATACATATAAGGCATTACTTTAACCTCTTTTCCATTATACACCCTGTTGAGAATCAGATGAAGACAATAAATCCTCTCCTCTCAAAAAATGCAAAATGAGGCCAGGCGCAGTGGCTCATGCCTGTAATTCCAGCATTCTGGGAGTCCTGAAAGTCTAGGGATTCACAGTCTACTTGATAATAAAATATAATTGAAAATCCTGGAGGTACATGTAATTGAGAAGCCTTATCATAACTTGATCAAGTTGCTTACTAGGGAAAGGGTAAGATATTCACAATGGCTGTTTAGAAAGCCAGCAGTATCGGTTTCTTTACATATTAATTCATCTTGCTATGGAAGCACATCATCTTTGATTAATTGCTACAAATTCTTGGTAACATCTGTTACGGGGACAAGTCAGGAGACCAATGGGGAAGATCACCAGCAGCCACATGAAACCTCTGCAGCTGACCCCAGGATTCTCACAGCCCAGTCAAAACTGCGAACCAAGCCGAAGGGTCCCTCCCTGTGAACCGTTTCTTTTAGTACTTCCTCCAGCAACAGCTGTCTAGGTTTATCTAGCACAGGTTAGCGATCTGCCACCATAGAAAGCCCACTAGCCCAGGACACGAGACATCTGGATTCCGCTGGAGTTTCTGCAACTGACTAGCTGTACTGCCTTGTCAGAGGGTTAATACCTTTAGCTCTTACAGGGTTCAAAAGATAGTGGAGGTCAAAGTATAACTACATTCCTCTCTGGCTTTCAAGTTTTGATCCTAAAACTAACTTACACTAAAAAAATTAGCAACTTAATGTATTAACTCTACCAGCAAAAATGATGGTAGAAAGAATTCAAGATAGAAGACAGTGCTTACTACAAAAGAATGATTTTTCAGTGATGGACCGCAGGGCATTAAGAAAGGTCTCTTTATTAGTTCATCAAACTGCGCTGTGTAGCAGCGATTATTCTAATACCAAGCACCTACCTCCCACCTCCAGCAGGGCTACTGCTAATTTTACACTCTGAAAATTTTCAATTATAAATATTTTAAGTGATCTTTAGCTTCTGGGTCA